GCTGGGAGTCCCGCAGGATAGCCGAGGCCGGGTTTCCCCGGGCCTTAAATATCCCACATGTGTAGCTGTGCTTGTTTACATTTGAAAAAAGGGTGGGGGAGAACTTCCACCCCATGGAATTGTGCCTATCTTTATGAGGATTTTACAGAGTAATACCATCATATGCCAAAACCCACAATTCCTTTGCAGTGCACGGTCTGTGTCACTGTGGGTACTGACCTAAATTACTCTGAGTAGTTACAGGTAGGTTGGGTTTAGCCTCAGGATGTATCTCTGCACTTCAGCAGCTTTTGTGAATGGCTGTGACTTCTGTCGTAGAGAAAGAAGCTCCTCACAAACCGTCTTCGTGGCCTTCTAGCCCCTTTATGACATCTGCAGGGCCTGCAAGAAAGGGACCTGCAACTGGCAACCAGCTCCTGGCACTGAAATAGTTTTATCTGCAAACTCTTTTCTAGTGTAATTTGTCTGCCTTATCTTCCCAACACATCAGCCTCCATCTGAAGGCTGGTCCAGAGAGTAACATTTGAAGGGTGATTTTTATTTCCAGCCTCCTTTCTTGCAAATAACCACTGCCTCTGTTTTCCTGTCCCTTCATCAAAGTGTTTGGTCCCTGCAAGTTCTGTAAAAAGATCCAGGGTACTCAATAGCGGTTTGATGACTGTCCCCCATTAACTTTTGGATCTGTTGGTGGACTCTGTGTCAAGACCCAGAGTCTTGACACATATCAATAACTATTCTATTTGTTTTGCTCTGCAGTGGGGTTATGGAGACTTCGAATGATCAGTCAATGGTTGGAGTCCAGAATTATTTGGAGGTAGGTCCTTGCTAATCTTATTGTCGTTAAAATGAAACTTCTAGGGTCACATTGTTGAGCTACAGATATTATCAGGGATGAGTATTATTTTTAAATTGACACTCAATAAAAGACGCTTGCATAGTGCTAAACACTATAACATTCAAAACAACCAAAGTGCTTTAGAAATTATGTCAGTATACAGGTAGGAGAAATAGGTCAGGGTGAAGTCAAAGACATTAAGATCCTGATCCTGAAAAAGATGTGAACCCTTCAATAAGACTCCAAATTGAGGTATCAGAGTCCAGAACTATGATTCTGAGAGCCCCTGCTCAGGTGCTGGCCCACCTGAAGGTCATTAAGCACATGAGCTTCATTAGCAGTTGTGGCTTTGCCTCCACTCATTCTTAGAACTGCCTCAGTTCTGAGCAGGCTTAGCTGTTCTGCTCCTAGTTTGTGTCTAAGTATTTTATAGATTTAGAAACTAGATGCTGCATCCTCCTGGGAGAGGATGTCTCTGATAGATGTTTTCAGACACAGCAGGATATCCATTGTTCCAAAGAAAAAAAAAAATGCTTAGTTTCCATTCTTTTGGAGTTTTTCTAATGTGCCGCGGAAAAAAGGTATGATCCTGTCATCACTGTTGTTCCTGCGCTGCTCCCAGGGATTTCCCAGAAGGTAAGAATGGCTTTCAGGACCAAAGTGCTGTTTGGGCTTGGAGTGAGTGTGCAACAGGCGTGCAAAAGACCCACTGTTATGCCAGTGCATAGAAAGTGGGTCGCTTGCATAGTGTGAATGCTCAGCACACCCGGATGTTTGTGTAACCCCGTTGTACTTTAATTACAAGCTGCTGTTGAGCTGCATTTATTTGAGCAGTGCTGGCGAATCCCAGGTTCCTCTGCAGGGCAGGAATCAAAAGGAAGCTGTGTTGTTTTTCTCTCTTGTCTCAGAAGCATCATGTAGTTTGAAGTGAAGCTTGTGCCCATTTAGAAGGTAAGAGATTGTTGGAGAGGTTGAAACTGATTGCTTTAGGTCAGATCACGCCTTTTTGTTACTTAGTTCTCATTTTCGGTCACACTGTCATAACCTGAGATCACAAACTGGAGCAGTTTGAAGGTGGTGTGCCCAGCGTGCTTGTTTGTGGTAGTCTGTGCGCTGCCTGTGTTAGCTACAATCCCGGCGCTGTGAAGGAGCAGAGCTGTTGAAGAGCTGGTCTGGGAGCAGACTTGCTGTCCCACCCAGCCACTCTGTGACCATGGCCAAGACATCTCCACGCTGTGCCGTGGGAGGGTGATAGTTCTTGCATGCTCTCGCTAAGCAGACTGCAGAAGGAAAGTGTGATGAATTACGGTTTGAGTAAGAGTTCTCAGGGTGTATTTGTATGGCTTCTTGCCTGAGACCATTGTGGAGAAAGTGTATAAATATTGTGCAGATCTTGAAAGAAGAGCCCCAAAGGACTTTCTATCTCATTTATCTAATCCTCTGAACCATCCAGTGTCTCAGCCCCAGGCGCCGGACTTTGGGTGAGTCCAGCAGTTGTTTTGCATTATCTGAGTAACTTTGTTTTAATAGCTGAATGGGTAGGATGGGTGATTAAAGGAGAAAAGAAGAAAGAAAAAAAAGAGAAAAAGATAAACTTATTTGGTGTTGTCTTTTCACAGTATCAGCACTTTGCAGGCCAGTTCTGGGATATGTGCTTTGCTTTCATGTGGTGGTATTGATGCTGGGCACTGCTGAGCAGGGCTGTGTCTATTAGAACCACATGGGGAAGTCTTAAAGCAACTTTAATAGAAAACTTCTGGGGCCTGTAGGAATTTATCTTCCTCCATTTCTGCTCAGCCTTGAACTTCACAACTTTCCAAAGCCAGGAAGGTAACTGAAGGGAAGGGCAAAATTAAATCTGTAATGAGATCCTTATTGGATTCTAAATATGGTTCAGCCATTTGTTTGCAGTTACAGGCAAGCAAATAACCTGTGAGGTGTAGACCTTGTGTTTCAACAGCCATGCCATTAAAAGTGTAATGGACTGGTGCGTGAGTGTGTTCTGCAGCCCTCTGTGTGGTCAGGTAAAATTGCTGGACTGGAGCTGAGCAGAAGGCCTGTCTATAAACCTTTGTCACCATAAAGCACTGTATCATACAGGACACAGGAGCTTTTGTAGTCTTCAGGACTGCTGTGTAACAGAGCCCTGGGACTGTCTGCAGGAAATGGAGACTTGTTTTAGTCCAGGGACAGATGTAGATAGTTGAAGGAGCTTTTAAAATATCTTTGAGGGGGGTAAGCTTTGCAGACAACACTTTCTTTCTTGGAGACAACATATTTCTCTTGAAGCACTTGGAAGCCCAGCTTGCTAGTGATGGGTCCAAACCAAAATTCCAGACCTTGCTTCCTGAGATCGGGAGGCTTGAATCCTGTGATTTGGCTCCCTTCAGTTCCTTGTGCAAACTTACAAGACGCAGGACTTCGTGCTCTAGTCTGAATTCTTACAAATGTCCCTACTGTAAAGGAAGATCTCCCGTGTAGCACCTTTTGCTAAAGTGAGCAGCTGTTGCTTGTGCTAACAGGCACCATATGGGAGGCCTGCTAGGATCTACAGAATTAAGTTCCCTTTCATGTTTGGTTTGAACTATCTCCTGAGTGTGCTGTTTCCCATTGTGCTGGTGAATGCTGCCCAAAACTAATCTTCCCCACACGAAGCTCTGCTTTGGCCAGCAGCCTTGCGCTAAGGCCAGATATTATTCTTCATGGAAGGAAAAGGGGGAGTAGAAGAGGAGAGAAAGAGAACATACACGAACTCCTTACTATGCAAGGCAGCTTTGGTACAATTAGGCTCTGAGATAATCCATCCAAAATAAACCCCCCCCCCCCCCCCAAAAAAAAAAAAAAAAAAGAAGAGAGGAAAATGGACCCAGAGAACTGTCATCTTCAACCCCTATTTGGATAATAATGTCACTGGCATAGGAGATTGCTTTAGAAACCCTTTCTTCGAGCAGAAGCCACTTTCGCAGCTTTTTCTCCCTGGCTTTCACTTTGACTTTTATCTATTCCACTAAAAATGAGTTAGATTTTTAATTAGTTTCAGTTGACATAGCACCCATTGAATCAGTGAGGCTGTGATGACTTGCAACCGGAAGCTTGCACATTGCTATTTACCAGAACACAGAAACTTATGAATTGTGCAGCATCCTCGGCAATGCAGTGCAATCCCTTGTGTCTGTGCAGCATGTGCACTGCGCATGATGAAACCAGTAAGCAATCCAGCTGCTGTGGAAGAGAAATAGACATTTATTTTTCCAAAACATTCCTAATGCACAGTTTCTCATGTACACACCCATCTACAATGGATTTCACAGCTTCCTTTTGTGGTTCTCAGATGCTCTGTAGAAGTAGATGGCTGAGTATCTTGAGGATTTTTTACTTAGACTTCAGGGAGAGAAGTGGATGAACTTTTGCTTCCCCGCCATAGGTGGTATACGTTAATGGGCCTGTTCTTTATCTCGCCTCTCCAGTGTTTGTATAGAGTGAGAAGAGAACAGAGCTTTGAGTAATAATCTGGAATGTGGATCCATATCATTCTGGCACACAACAGTGGAAATTTCAGCACGATTCAAAACATGGAAGTGCTTAGCGAATGAAACCTGTTAGCAGAACAGACCTACTAAATGCAAGTACTGCTTTCCCCTGCATCACTGGTATGCAGGGTGTTAGAGGTATAAACTGACACCCTGGGATGCTTGTTGCTGCTCCAGGAATATGGTTGTCAGAAAGACTATGACTCTGGAAGGAAAGACTAAATGAAAATGGATGAGATCTGGCTCAATGAAAGGCCTTCAGCAGGTGCCAAGCCAAGATTTTGGTGTTTGTAACACCTACTAAAAAGAATGATGCTTGCATGCTCTGTGGCTTGAAGAAGGGATCAGAGACCGTGAACTCTGAGCACATGGGAGGACATCCCAGCTCCTTTACTCCTGTGTCTCCTCTATTGCTTTTTAGCTGGGTGCCCGTGGGTAAAGTGCTTAACTTCTGCCTCAGTTTCCCCCGTAGGAATCCATAGATGATACCCAACAGGGTAGCAATCTCAATTAATAGCAATAAAGTCTTTTGAGTTCCTCAGATGAAAGGCCTGCTTGTTTTAGGGGCTTGTTTTTTCTGAAAGGGTAGGAAAAACTGGTTGCTATCCAAGCAATTACTAAATGTAAATAATGCGTCTTTTTTGAAATTCAGTGTGGGTGATATTAATGGATTGAAGTATACAAGAACCAGAGGAAGAAACCATCAGCTGTCTGTAGGCTCAAAGGACATCTGGATGGTACAGATATGAGACATTTGCATAGGTGAAGGGGTCACTTCTGAATTGCCTGCAAAGAAGTTCAGCAGTTCAGAAATTCTCTCTTTAAGGAGATTAATTAGGATGGGATATAAATGAAATATTAAAATTGAAACTGGAGGCAGCAGTTGATAGTACATTATCAGCTGCATGCCTATTAGGCTGGAGGAAGAATCCACAAACAAAACTTTCAGCTTTCACAAACTGGGATTTGTTGCTGATGGTGGTCCCATTCCTCCTTGGATGCCCAGCACATATATCCTTCAGTCATCTCTCCAGAAGAGATGTGCCTGGGAGAAAATTGTGCTGGAGAAGGGCAGCTGTGAAAATACCATTTGTTGAACCTGTCATTCAGTCCTGCACCTTTGTGGATTCATTGGCTGACCTGAGTGGGGTGAACAACCAGATTTGCCTTGGAGCCTGCAGTCCTCTCTTCCTCTCCAGTCTGCTCTCCAGCAGGGCTCAGCTGCTGCTGGCAGAGGAGAAGAGATCCAAACGCTGTTGCTATTATCCAGCTTTGTTCCGATGCAGTGTGGGATCCAAAGGAGTGCCACATCCAAACTTCCCTGAGCCCGTAACAAGAAAGGAGGATGTTTTCCACATTCTCTCCTGTTCTCTCTCTCCCTCTACCCCCGCTCAACTGTGTCCCACTGGCTGGTTTTTGCCTGATGAGAAAGGAGGGGGAGAAGAGGGTGGAGGAAGGGAGGAGCCTGCAAAACCCAAACATATCTTTGCAGAAACTTTGCTCTTAAAATGCAGCTTCTGCTTTAAGACAAATTGCTGAGGCACAAGCCAAGGTCTGCTGCAGAAAACTATTTAATTTCTGTCTGCTTCTCTCTGCTTAAGGGTGATAAATAAAGATTTTCATTGTTAATTGTAACCACATGTGAACTCCAAATAGAAGGATTAGGAAGGGGAAAAGGCTAGGGTCATTTTTGTTCTGTTTCCCAGGCCTTCCCCTGCAGCTCAGTTACATTTTTCCTTGCCTCCTTCTGCATTTTAATGGTATGTTTCTGAGAGCCCAGAATCCTGTCTGCTCAAATAGTAGGAGTCTGGAAGGCATTTGTGAGTCAGCAGTTCAAACTTTATTGACTCTTGGTACCAAATTAAAATCTAATAAAGACCACTGCTGGGCTCACTACTCGGGAGCGGAGATGGGAAAGAGAAGGAAATTTCTTGTCATTCATCTGGTTTTCTGCTTTTTTTGGTTGTTTTTCAGTCTCTCAGATACACTTCACTCATTCACTCTAACAAATTACATTGGGTTTTCTGTCTAAGGGTCTGTCCTCGCAAAGAAAAAAGTTGTGTTTTGCAGTGCTCCAGCAACCTACTTTAAAACCTCACTGTAGGTAAGACCTACTGTGGTTTTAACATTGCATTAGTAAGTTACTGGAATACCAAGGTTTCTGACCTGCCAGTGTTTGTCCCTTGCCAAAACCCACCCTGGCTTTACTAAACTTAGGCCAGTCTAGACAGACCCTTAAATATATAGCATCTAATTAACCGTGTTAGCATCTCTCTTGCTCTCTCTCTTTTGTGTGTGCATCTTGATTAAAAGACACTATATTAATGACTCATTTAGCGGGGTTTTATTTACTTTCCCAGCAGGAACCTGTAGCAATTCACCCGGTTGTTTTTCCAGCCCTGTGTTAGTGGGCAGAAAGGAAAGGCAGAAACAGGGTGGGGATAAAAGCCAGCTGTGTGGAGAGGAACAGCTGGGAAAGGGAAGCAACAATCCTAGCCACAGGTGGCTTCTCCAGCAAATCCATGCCAAAATCCATATGCAGAACCTAGAGGATCTCAATATCCTTCCCCTTGCATTAAGAATAGTAAGTTCCAGCTTGTTGCAATACTGTTTGCTAACTAATTTTTAAAGTACATCTCGGCTGCAGTGTAATTTTAGGGCCTTTTGGCTGCAATAAGCTTGAACTCTGTGATGGTGTAAATAATGTCTGTCATTTTCTGCTGTAGCCTTGCTACGGCAGAGGTCTTAGTGTGAGAGAGACATTGCCTTAATATTAAGGCAACTCTAGCTCCTGAAGAAAACACGACTCTCGAGGATTAGCCAAGTCCTGCATTAATGCAACTGTGGAAGCAACAAATACAAGGAAATTCCATCTTGTGACTGCTGGTGGTGTGTGTTTGTCCGGTGGTTGGTTGTACCTGCTGGGGTAGCTCAGTGTCAGCTCTTCAACTACTGGTGTGTTTTATGAGAGCTGTGTCTTGTTTCTTAGATCTGTTTATATTTCTCAGTGGGACTAATAAATGCATTGCATCAGTGCTGTGCTACTACTCATCTGGTCCCCGGGCTCCTCCTCTGCTCTCAACAATTAATGGAAGCGTGTTGCCCCCTGTAGCCCTGCTCCCATTGTGGACGGAAAAGAACTGCCTGCAGCAGTAAGCCACAGTATTTTACGTTCTAGCCTGCACTGGAAGCAAAGGATGCAGCCTGAGCTCCTTCAGGTGTCTTGGCTGATGTCATTCAGGCATCCCTGCATGCTGTTTCCATCTCTTTAAGGCTTGGGTTCTGCAGCTCTTTAAGAGCTGCTGAAGCACTCTTGAGTCCAGTTCTTAGCAGTAAACTGCAGGGGTGGTGTCTGTTTAAATGTGTAATTCTCTGTCCTCTTTCCCACTCACCCAGTAATATCAAGCAAAGGATAGGGAGATGAATATTTTTTACTTTATTTTGTACGTGTAAGGAAGCTCGCATGGCATTTTGGATGTTCTGTTTGAGGTGATTTCAGGACACAAAGTGAGAAGTCCCCCAAATGGGCTCCTCTCCATCCCCTTCTTTGTAGCCCATGGTAAAACTCCCAATTACTTCTCTATGTGAGCAATAAGGAGACACATGGTTAGCAAGGAGGGGGGTGCTTTTCCTTGCTAGCTTGAAGTGAGTCCACTATTCATGAACCATCTTGTGTTGGCTTTCAGAAGGCAGCGCAGAACCTAAAACCCGTTGTTCCCATCAAGTTCTGCATCTCCAGCCGAACAGATGCTGGCGTCCATGCACTCTGCAACTCTGCTCACCTTGATGTCCAGAGGGCACCAGGGAAGCCAGTGTTTAATGAGAAACAGCTCATCTACGGTCTTAATTACCACCTGAAGCCTGAGCCCATCCGGTGAGTTGGTGGCAAGTCAGTCTTTTATTTTGCCCTTGTTGTAGAAAGGAGGAAATGCAGCAATGAGCTCCCATCTTCACCCACAAGGTGTATTTTCCCCTATTACATGTGTTGGCAAACCACTCCCGTGCACCTGTGTATTTCTACTACTACCAGACCCCTGGCACATTAAAGATCAGTCTTTTTCCACTGTCGTTGTTAGGAGATCATCTATGCTAGTACCACTAAAACAAGAGTTGTTGTGAGAGAGAGATTCGAGTCACCATATAAGTATTGAATACACTGGGAGGACTCTAGTTTCACACATGAGCCAGAACATTAGTATATTAATTTTCAGTGCTGCTTTATTCCCCAAACTCCCTAATTTTCTTTATTTATTGAATTAGCACTTAGCAAAAACTTGGCTGCAGTATTGCCTCTCACCTGTATCTGTGCAAAAAGATAAAGAACAAGTAAACAAAATTGCTGTTACTGTTGGCATAGTCTACTTGCCCCTTACTATGTGATCAGCCTCTCTTCTTCCCTGCTAGACCAAGGCTACCACTTGACATGGTTTATAGAAGTTACATCAAAAGCTCCAGTTTAATATTTTTGTAGCAAGACTTGATGTTTTACTCAATGGGATAAAGTCTTTTTCATACTATACCCAACTGTTAATGACTAGGGAGAGTTGCATACGGATGTAGTGAGGAACTTGATACAGCAATCTACAGGGAGCAGAACAGCCATTTCTTCTTTCTATTTGCTTTCTTCTTTTTAGAGTTATTACTTCTTCCAAAACTTCAGAGTGAGCTTATTCTGCATGAGACCTAGGTCTAAATGCCCACCCCCGAAGACAGAAAAAAATGATCACTAAACCAACAGTTTCTGTTAGGAGTTAGCATCCATTACATAAGTAATTACTACGCCCTGTGAATTTTTGAAAAGGTGGATTGAATTTCATGTTCTTTGCTTTTCTCCACAAGCTGTTATGCAGTTTCTCTGTCAGCTGTCAAACAGCTTCTGTGTTCTTCCCCAGACAGGGGTGCATTTTTATGGTTAAAGTGTAAATTTAATGCAACATTGGGGTTTTTAGACTAAAAGCCAAATCCGTCCTATGTCATATAATCAACGTGCCATTTGCCCGCAGCTGCTTTGCTGCACTCTGTTCTTTCTTGTGTTATTTGCATACACTAAAAATTCTTCAAGACACAGACTGTCTTTGTCTATACAGCATTTGGCACAATATCTTGAATCTCTGTGCAGTACCCTGCTGAAGAGTTTGTCAAAGCACTTCAGAGTGTTGTGCAAGAAGATGGGTAAATTATAGGAGGTGTTTAGGTGAGCAAAAGAACTTTGATGCGAGATGCCAACCGGTAGTTACTCAGAGGCCCAGGTTGCTCTGTTTTGCATTACTGCAGCCTTTCTGATGTCTGGTGGCATGAACACAAAGGAGGATTATGGAGGCAAATTCCACATGCCAGAGCAAGAACCCAGGACAAAAATGCACATCCCTCCCTGCCCCAGTGAAGGGATTGTTGTAAGAATAGCAACGTTACTATGAAGTACGCTCCCACTTCCCGCTTCACCCAGTCTGCTTTATTTTCTAATCTCCTCTTTGTGAAACAGGGCCTGACCCAAATGCTGACATAGCAAGGCCTGGGATTTGAGGACCGACATCATACTTGCATCTGTCCTTGGTTTTGCAAGGGAGGATTCTAGTTCTCCAGGGCTTGGGGAATGAGTCCAGCTCTAAATGTGCAGGTGCTGAAATAGTTTGGGGTCTGAGGGAGGGAGAGATGAATGATGGTGTTACTTTTTTCCCAGGAGGTCTTTCATGCATGTTCCACATGCTGTATAAAGCAAAGAGTGAGCTAGTGTGAGTTGATTAAAGCTGTGGCATGCTCTGCAGAAGGTGTTGATCTGCAATTCAGTCACCTGGTTTGACTTTTTCAAAGTATATTGCAAACATTCAAACCTTAAGCAAAGGAAGGAGCCTGAGGAAAGCAATCCCAGTTGGCAGAGTCTTCTTTAGCTTTGACTACGCTGCGGGGTGTTCAGTACCTCTGGAAACTAGGCCCCCAGGATCAGACTCTCCAAGGTGTCCGCCACTGTTTTTAGAAGCGACAAAGCAGATTGCCTGCCTCTGGTTGGCAGTAGAGGTAGGCAGCTAACCCACAGATGTGACTAAGGGGTGAGACATTCCAGCATGCCCTGGACATGCCAACGACACCTGTAGTGCTGGGCAGAGCCTAGCTAGGTTGCAGGAACTCTACATCTGCATTAACATTGAGTGAAACACAGGTTAATTAGCTAACCTAGCTGTTAACTAGGTTCCAGCACTAGTTTACCTGGAGTAATGCAAGTGCTGTGCTGTTTCGCAGTCCCTGACCCGACTTGCTCCAGACCTTATACTGACTCAGTGTGAATTGGAGATGGACTGAAGGGGTCAGCTTCTGGTCCGGTGGCCATTCCCTAGACCATGTGCTGTGTTGGTGCAAGGAATGGTATTAGGTGGAGGGACTCTGCCTCCAGAGTTCTGCGATCTCATGTCTAGAGGGCATGTTATCTCCAGGGAACAAATTCCAACCTATGCTGATAGTCAGGGATGGGAGATAGCGGTGACTTGACATTTGCTGCTGTAACAAGGTACGCTGTGACTGGGATCCCACCTACGTACCTTCTGTAGGCCTATGCCAAAGAAGTCTTTGGTGCCTGGAGGTCTCATGGCCTCAGGATTGGATTTTGCAGTGTTTTCCTGCAGCGTTTCTGGAGTTGTATGTCAGTGATGCTTTGCATTTATTTAAATACAGTGGGACCTTTTATCTGCGGGCTTTCAGCTTGGTCAGTGACTGGAGCAGAAGCTGCGGCAGCTGTCTGGGAGCCAGCTGCATTCTTTCACCTCCGAACAAGCACCAGGGGAGCCATCAGAGGGTGAAGGGGAAGAGGAAGTAAAATCCTTGGAATCTGAGCTCGGGCAGGAAGGCACTGTGACAGCCTTATTCTAGAGGCACATAGTTCCTGTTAGTGGCTGTTTATTTTGTTGTTTTAACTGACCTTTTTTTCCTGGATGTTTGCAGTTCCTTTGACAGCCCTCAGACAGTTTTGGGAACAGCATAGGGCCACACCGCTTTTCCCCTTCGATCCTGTGTCTCCTGACTGTCCATGTTAGCTTAGCTGTTGCTGTTCCTCCATGAGATCCTCCTGTGATGTCTTGGAGTGGGTGAGCTCAGCCTAAGGCAGTGTGAAATGACTGTTGTGCTGCTTGGGCTTGATATAGAGCGTGGCGGCCATTAGAAATGCATGACTGTCCCCAGAAATCTGTAAGGGAAATTTCTCGCCCCCCCCCAAAAAATGTGTTTTAGCAGTTTGCAGAGTTGGTTGAGTCTTTCCCTGAAAGCAAAGGTTTCACAGTGGGTGCATGAAAGAAAAGCAAATACTGATTTCACTGCTTTTACCACACAGCCTGTGGACAGCCATCCAGTAACAAGTCAGATCATGCATCCCAAACCTGAGATTGTAAAACTGTCAGTTGTGCTAATATTCACTTACAAATCCAGTTCCTCCATTGGCCTCTTAAAGTAGCAGCTAGATTCCTCTGCAGTGAGAGGCCAGAACACAAAAGAAATCTCTTTCTCAAGCTAGCTAAGTTGCATGTTTAACATCTGTGAGTTACTGTCCCTTGACAGCCTTCACCTTCTTTGACATATGTGTAAGAGTCTAATGCAGCTGCTGTGGGGTGAGGCTGGAGATGATTTCTTTTCAGACTGCTGTGTCAATTAAAAAAAAAACAAAAAGATTCTGAAATAGAATTTGACTTATGTGGGGTTTTGGTTGTTATTTTTGCTCAGACTGAAAACTAGGTCAGAATCTATACACCCTGGAAGTCAAACCCTTTCTGGATGTTCTAGCAGTAACAGGGAACATGAAGTAGGTCAGAGTTTTGATTTCCTTCCTTAAAAGATTAAAACAGTTGTTTGGGAGTCAAAACTAGTTGATTTAAATCCTGAGGGTACCAGTGCAATAATCAGTCTGTTCTATGTGCCACCAGGCACTGAATCTCAGTTTCCCTTCTCTGAGTTTAGGCTTGTAACGTGTGAGTTGTGTTGTCCAGCTTTAATGGAGTAAGTTGTCCTGGAGGGCTAAAACTACTGTTGTGACCCTGCCACTTCCAATAGTAGTGGTCATACAGATACGTAGGGATAGCTATTTGTGATACCGTGACTGATCAGTTCGAGAGCAAACAGGATTGCTGCTGGAGGAAGTTTTAAGTTGGAGAGCGTCTCCAAAAGGAGGCAGCAGCGGGATCTCACAGGGAAAAAAGGTTTTTTTTGTCTCGTGCTAAGATCTGACAGGTACATATCAGGAGGTGCTACCTTCTGCTAGAACTCAATACAGTTCTGACCAGTTAGTGAGTTTGAGTTCATCGGGGTGCGGCCAGCTCTGCTTCTCCTTCCTCCCTTGGGCTGAACCTTCTAAAAATGGTTCAGCTGCTTTCCATTAAGGAGCGTGGTGACGGGCATGAGTCTAAGCGTATTCAACAACCATCCCCTCCCTCTGTAAATATTACTTTGCCAAGAAGAATTCTCTCCTAATGCTGAAGAGAAAACTCAGCACTTTCATGTGGTTGCAAGCAGGGGGTGATGGAGAGAGGGATCTTTGCGAGAACACATTATTGTCGATAGAGCTTGGAAGGGAAACAAGATTCCAAGCTGGCTGACTGTATCATCAGCAATAATAACCTTCTTTGTAGCGTGATGGGTCTCTTCTATCAACTGATCTGTCTTTTAGATTTGCAAAGCGTATTTGAAAGGATCTTGTCCACAAAGATCAGAGTGTATTTTGTAGATGGGGTAACTTTAGGAGGACTTTGCTGTCACTTAAGTAGGGATGGTAATACAGTAGACTCATGCCTTCTATTCCTGGTTTCAGTTTTGTAAGCATACAATAAAGGCTGTCTGGGTGACAACAAGACAGAGCTGGGATTCTTCCCACCTCCTGCAAACTGGCATTTAGGTTTCAGTTGTCAGTGGAGAGAGAAGGATGTACTTCTGGAGGACATATTTGTATCTAATGCATTGCCTTTTCTAGTTACATGTCTTCAGGCCTTTTTTCCTTCAACCTCCTCTGAAATTCAGGCTCTGCTGGAAAAGCTAAAGAATGCCACAAGTCTTTATTTACCAGCAGCCTTTCAAAAAATGGGATCTTAACAAGGCCTGAAATGTAGTATGTTTGAAGAGCTGCTGGAATAAATGCTGGGAAGACATTCCCACCTAGAAAGAGCCTATGGTAGCAATTGCATGTGCTAGGAGAGGCAGGAAAGGATGCCTGCGCTGAAGAATCATGTGAGCGTAAATAGGCTTTTCTGAAAGAATCAGTCTATCAGAGGGAGTAAAAGGGTGGTTATTGAATAAAAATCACATAAGCATTAAAAAGAGAAGTTCAAGATAGATTAAGTGCTTGTGGAGGCATGTAGACAGGGAAAATAAATGTAATAATTACATTATTGTGTTTAGAAGAGGCTAGAAGTCCTAGATTCAAACTCCATTGCAGGCCTGGAGGATGTAGTTTGCATTTCTACTGAGAGTTTATAGCAGTGGAACAATCTCCTGGGCTTGTTATTGCAAATCTTTGTGGAGGCCTGTGGCTCGGCTTTAATTTCTTCTTTTGTGGTCTGAGCCTTTGCAGTCAAGGGATGTGAGCCAGAGGCACTTGAGCTGGCAAAAATCCCTGAAGCACCAGCCTTTTTAAAGTAAATAAATAGGTTTTTCTATTACTTGGTCCCAAACGGTATCGTATTGTTTTGGCTGCCCTGGGTCCCTTCTCCTCATTATGCCAAACTCTGAAGACAGAAAGGCACGTAGCAGGAGAAAAACCACCTTCTAAGGAGACGTGTCCTCTAAAGTAACACCTGCACAGAGATTATGCCTGTGTAATAGTGACTCCTTGCTGTATGCTCCCTGCAGTATGGTGAGTAGCCAGTACTCTGGGATAAGGGAAAATCAATCCAGTAAAAACTGCTGCTGACATGTTCAAATCAATGATAACGCTTTGGGGAGGTGCAGAAGGGAAGCTCTCCGTTTTCTCCCTTGCCAGAGAGAAGGGTGTTTCCCCGCTCAGCCTTCATACCCTCCCTTCTGGCTACCAAGCTGTCTGATGGTAATGGTGGCTTTGGCTTAGAGAAACAAGGCAATTTCTCCCTCTTGCTTATAGAAGAAAATGGGGGAGTTCAGCTGCCTAGAAAGCTGTTTCTTGAGTTAACTGCCCAGAGTCAGGGGAGGACGAGTAGGCATGAACATTCCCAAAAGCCATTTTCTGCACACGTCAAACACAAGGGTTCCCAGGAGGTCTCCTGCATGCAGCATTCTGCTGTTTTCAGATAGACTCAGTCTAGGCAGTGGTGGGATGCACCTTTATTTTCATTGCTTCAGCGAAGTCCTATTTGTCTTGGAGGTCGTGGAGGGAGGTAGGGAGGGAAGTGACCTAGTTTCAGCTATCTCCATCTGCTACAATGAGCTGTGTAGCCACCTTTGAGAGGGAGCACAGAGGTATCTGTTGTTGGGGGAGTGCCTCCCACTCACATTTGGGACCATGGTTCTGCAGGAGCAGAAGGGAACAGTGTTCATAAGGTGTGCTCCTCAGCTGGAGATGGAGGGAGTCGGCTTGCTTTGGGAAGTGGCTTCCTCTCGCCTTAAGCGTGGCTAGGAACACGTGCCCTCAGCCGGATGCGATGCAATTTGGTGGGCTGGGTGAGGTATTTGGTTTCACTGTGCAACAAAGAACGCGTGCTATCAGTTGCCGTTTGTCAGCTGAAGGACTGATTGGTCTTAGCCCCTTGTGATGGTGTGAGCATCCCTCAAAACTTGTTGACAGATGATCCAAAGTCGGTTTCATTGTGTATTTGGTGACAGGGTGATGCCAAGGCTCCTCTTCTAGTTGCTGGGTGCCTGTGGCAGCCTACAGGTGCAAATCCTTGGTCACTAGTTAGTCATTGGCTCTCAGGAGAGAATGATATTTATTTAGTTTTAAGTGCAGTTTCTCAAAGAGTCTGTTGCATATTTCAGTTCCCATCTATGTGGTGACCAGGCAAAAGCTTTTGAATTAGTGTATGAAATTTCTCTCCATCTCGCTCATTCTCTTCATCCTAACAGCATTTTGAATGCCTATCGAGTGACCAGTTCCTTCCATGCGCGCTTCTCTGCACTGTCAAGAACCTACATTTACCGGCTGTTGATCGGCTGCAGTCATCATTCTGAAATACCGGTGTTCGAAAGGGATCTCTGTTGGGCTCCTACGGGAGGGTAAGTCTGTTCCTAAACCTCCCTGGGGAGCTACCTCATCAACACTCTGGAAAGGCTTGGCTTTTGGGGGAAGCAGGGAGGGGGTAATTTCCACGGGTGACACCAGATTCCCTGTTTGTATTGACAAGATTTCCCTGTTGAAATCAGTGGAACTGCACTGGGTTATGTTCACTGAGACCTGAGACTTACAGCTCTTTTTAATTGTACCATCGGTTGTACCTGTGACAAACGTGCTTAGCACTGCTGAAATACCCGGTGACTCCGGGTAGAGTCCATCAGCAACTCTGTGTGTCCTTCCCCATGGAAGTGACGAGCATTTCCTCAGGGGACCTTGCCAATTCATACAGCAAACGCATTCAGACAGCTGGCTGAAGGAACAGTGCTCTGACATGAGACAGGCAGAAATGCATTGCACAGCAGATCTCAAGAGTTTTAGGTGCGACCATACAGGCAGTCGAGAACGAAGGCTGACAATTCCTTCCCCCCACCTTTTCTTTTCTTTTTTTTTCCCCCCTGCTCTCTCATTCCCTGAGTGCTTGTATGTTTGAATAGTGAGAGCCAATAACTCTGAGCAACCCTACAATAACAAACGAGTGTGTCGAGCTCAGTATTCAGTTGTGTTCTTGGAGTAGCCACTGAGTCATAACAAATCAGTGCTTGTATATGCAAGGGAATAAAAACAAATTCAGTGCCATTTAAAAAAACAAACAAACTTAGGACATGGTAAACAGTGGGTGAGGAAAAAACAAGCAAAACCCAGAAGATAATTTGTTATTGTCCTTTAGTTTACATTGTACTGAGATAAACATACATTCAAGAAAACAGGAGTTTTCCACAACATTATAGAAAAACAGGTTTGTAGCCAGTTGTGGTAATTTCATCACCCACTATTGGAATAACAATTGTGGGTAATGTAAAAAAAAAAGTAATCTCAACTGTCCTAGCAGAGGAATGAAGATGACACTGTCCTAACATTAAATTGCTGCCTTTCTTTTCTGTGGGCTGTGGAAGGGGAAAGTAAATATGAAATTGCAAAATTAGATGTTATGTGCACAGTGTGTTTTAATCTCGGGCTTTATGAAATAGCATTTAATTTGGTCCAGACACCGCAGTTAATTTTCTCAAACGGCAATACCACATAAAGGATGGGGTAGGCATATTAGAAATTCTGCGTGGGAGGTGTCTTACTAAGAGGTGGGATATTTGGACTGCTAGTAGTGGAGAAGCTCATAGTGTGTGCGCTGCTGAGCACATCTGGTGTGTAAAACACATAATACACGTTAAACTTCTGTAGGCATCTGAATTACCAACTAGCAATCATCAGCATGTCTCAGTGTGACCAGGATTCTGTAAGTGCTGCTCATTTTTCTTGAATACAGTGAAAAGACTTAATGATGTTGGGAAATCTCATCTTTTTTTGTTTGTTTTCTTCAGAAATGTTTTGACTTCTGTTAAGATCTCAAAAATGTAAGCCATAGATCATGCATACTTGCTCAGGCTTTTCTTAGGAGAAATTTACAAAAATGGAATAAGAATAAGCATCTGTTCAGCAAATATATCGGTAAATCTGGCTAAATTCCTTTGCTTGAGACTATTTTGAACAGACCTAGATACTTAGATGAAGAAATATGAATGACACTTGACATTGAGTTTTACCCTTGGCCCTTTCTTCTGCATCTCCACCTTGGGTTTACACGGGCTTCATCTCTGACAGTTTGCTCACTCATTCCATTTCTGTTGCTTCCTAATTTCATCTTCTGGCTGTTGCAAATCTAAGGTTTGGAAAACCATCATAGTGTTTGACATTTTCTCACCTGGCAACAGTGTTTTTCAGTTTATAAGATCCAGATACTGCAAAGGATTTTGGTTCTCTTGCCCTACGCTCTAGCCAGCAATTTGAATAGCTATTTGAATTGAACTGTTATAAGAAGCACAGCAGGATAAAGGTTTGTGTAAAAGCTTGTGCCTGCCAACCCCTCATCTACCCTGGGGTTTTGAATACCTTCAGACCTCAGGTCACTTGGCATCTTGGTTTGTGGTTTGGGCCATTACAAGACAAAACTCCATCTTGCAAAATGTGTTTCCACAGTGCTGCAGTGTTAAATCTGCCTGCCAGGTTTAAGCTTTGTATCAATTAATTGGACTTTGACCCACCTAACACACTTGGTCCCACCTGATGCTCCTTTCCTTTTGGTCTGCGTGTTTAATTTCAGCTACCTGAATGTGCCTGCCATGCAGGATGCAGCACAGTTCCTGCTGGGAACCCATGACTTCAGTACCTTCCGCTCACTTAACTCCGAAACGCCTTTCCAGTCGCCAGTCAGAACCATCCTCCAGGCAGACATCCGACCCTCTTCTGGTTTCCTGTCCCAGCACTATGAACACAGGTGAGAGCCCAGATACTCAGCTGAGGAGCTGCTCTGATCAGCTAGTGCTTGCTTTGCCTGAAAAGCTGCTTTCCAGCGCTGCTTTGAGAACTGACCTCCTGTTCGCTGTGCATTGCCTTCACAGTTCTGTGGTGGTGTCAGCAGGGTTCTGCCTAGTGACAGCTTGGAAAGGACATTTCTTTCCCTCTCCTCCCCAATGTCCTCAGGGACAAAGATGAGCAGGAGTGAGGTCAGGGAAACTGGTGTGGTTGTGCATTAAAAGGCAGGATGTTATAAACTGGTGTGTGGAATCTGGCACGGAGCAATTCCTATGAGGTGCTTCCAGCATTTACACTCATTTTGATTGCTAAAGACCAGCTCTGCCAGGGGATGGGATTTTTTCCTCCCCCGCCCCACTGCTATCCTAGTTTTGCCTAAAGGCTGCGAATAGAAGGAAGAAAAACCCACCCAACACCTAGGTCACTGCTCAGTTCACACCAATAATTCCTACTGTCTTCCTGGGGGATGTTGATGAAGGAAAGTCCAATATTCATCAGCCATTACATAAACAAAAGATTGCTGAGTGTCAGGTTCTTTCAGGACCAGGTCTTGCAAGTATTGAAATTAAGTGGCTGGATGTATTTTCTCTCTAGTAGAAACTGAAGTTTTTTTCCCAGAAAGATCATGGGTATTTATCATCTGAACATGGCTTTTGCTTTCATGCTGGCTTCTTTCACGGATAAGTGGCTGTTGTGTTTCAGCTTGACAGCAAACCTTGCTGTTGTCTGTCTCCAAACCAGGTGTTCCTGCTTTCTGATTAGGAGAAAACCCTTTTCTTTGTAATTTTCCCCAACGACCCTCCATTAGATTTGAATAGCTACTGAGCTGTCTGTAACAATGAGTGCCATGCTCCCAGCTTTGGAGCTTCGCTGCAGTTAGAACAGCCTGTTTTGCCAGCGTAAGACAAAAACTGAAAGGGAGCTGCAAAAAGAGAGAGATATCTGTATGCTCTGAGTAACCCTGGTCTTTCAGTTCCTCCCATCTTCCGATTCCTGCTTTTCCTGCTCAGTGTTGGTGCCGACCGATACACAGCCACATTATAAAGAGCCACCCGGTTGGGTATGGCGCTTTCATTGCTACCTCCGCTGTACGAGCACAAGGACATGGGCAGTTAGTGCCAGATGAAACGTTTACTTCCCGCCTTCTTGCAGGTAAGAAACACTGTTCCCATGGGGAAAAGGAAGGCTGGAGAGGAAAAATGGGTGCTGTCATGTGGCTGCATTCCTGCTGTTTGTTACTGGGGTGCCAGTGCTGGAAGGGGAGCGTGGCCTCCCTCCGTCAAGTGTGGTTACGCGTAGGGACACAAGTAACAGTGAAACGCTTCATCCACAAGATTATCTTGTCCTTTATGAGTAGCTTTGTAAGTGGCAGTGACCCAAGCTAACCTGAAAATAACTGTTAACAGGCTTGTAGATCACCTGTGAGGGCATATGGGCCACGTTACCTTTCCAGTTCAGAGCTGCTATTGTCAGTTGACCCATCTCTGAGATTTAATATCGATCAGCTCTTTTTTTTTATGTCTCTGATTTTAATTTAAAAAAGGAATTTGCCATTTCTTGCATAACTTGCTGCATAAACCCATCCCACATGAGGCCAAAAACAGCTCGAGAGAGAGAGTAAACCTAAAAACTGGATCAAAAGCATCAAGCTAGTTGCTGGTGGAATATTTTTGCTTTTGGTGACACATGCATCCAAACTTGTGTTTTATAGTGAGTCATTTTTATAATGTGTCAATATTAATTGATTTAATGAATGTTTAGGCTGAAGGGGATGGCTTTGAGAAGCCTAGTTTCAAGGCATTTAAGTGGCATTCCACTCTCTTAGGATACTTTGTTAGTAATAACCACAACCATGAGTTTTGTAGACTCTAGAAAAAAATTGTGGGGTTTGGGTCTTTGTGACAGGCCAGGTGTTGTTGGGGCTTATTTTTTTTGTTTGATTGGGGTTTTTTAATTACAGCGTCCTAGTTACTTTTAATCTGTAAAACTCTCCCTATGGGAACAGTTGCAGTCATGGAGCTTGGTGTTTGTTTGCCCCTTCTGCGAATAAGACAGCAAATATGCCTGAAGTGCATGTGTATTTCTTCACTGCCGTAGCAGAATGAACTGTTCCTGCAATGAAAAGGCTGGGATAGCAGTAAAATCTTATAAATAGGTTTTAAAAAAAAAAAAAAAATTAAAGCCTAATCTCAGGAGGTTTATTTTCTGTTTCAGAGGGAGGAATCCATAGAATGATCAGCCATGGTCTCTTAGTCAAATAATGCAGCTCTTCTTTCTCATTCTTTCCTTCCTTTCTGAACTTAAACCAATCTTCTGAATTGACCATTTGTCTGTTTAAAAGGCTAACTGTTAAAATGATTCCTTCCGTCAAACTCAGTTGCTCGGCAACAGTGGAAGTGGAGTTAGTGTCCCATCCATACAAAATGCTTTTGAATGCTAAGGCTGTGTTCAGAGACTTAGCCCCATTGCCTGTTCCTGGGGAGTGATTGCTCTGTCACCTGTTTTCTATCTGAATATGTATTATTCTTTGCAAGGTGCTGGCTTCTGCTACCAAGCGGAAAAAGACAGCTGGATTTTTTGCTGGTGAGCAAAATTATCTGAGATTGACAGGAAAAACAAAGTCCCTCTCTTAAAGAAAAATATCTTGTTCTCTTTTGAAGTCTACGGGATATTTTTCCTAAGTATCTTGACCCATCTTTTGTAGCTTAATATATCTTGTCAAGAGAACCAAGACAGGAGAATCCTGGCTAAAGAAGGCGCATGCAGTTTGGTGAGAAGGGGGTTTGTCCCTATTTGAAAAAATTGTCTCTTGTGCTTTGCTAAAGATCTGAGCTGAATTATGACCTCGATGTGCTGGGTATTCGCACACGTGTGTAGCAACGCACATGTCTGTGTGCCATGAGCATCAAGCTGGGGGGAGAGCAGACCATACGTAAGCGATAGCAACGTTGTCATCTCCTGACATGAAGAGGAATCTGGGGGCAGGAGCTGCCTTTGCATATGCCAACATGCACGACAGGGAGGGCTAAAAGCAGTAATTTATCTGTAAATCCAGTGAGAAAACAGCTTGTGGCTGCTCCCTACATTGACTGTTTCACGGTTTCTCTTCCTGCTGGCCCTGCCCTGGTGCCCCGCGTGGGCCTGTGAATCGCGTTGTCCCCGCTTCACCTTTCTTCTACAGCTCGCAAGAGCTGTCCCCTCTCCCAGGGAATGGGCAGCCCCTTTCTTGAGACTCAGGTGTTTCCAGCAAAAACCCAGCCTGACAAATCTGAACCCTCCAGACAAATATGTTGCAGCTGTGCTTTTCTCACAGCTGATGCAAATTTCCATAGCCCTTTGATACCCAGTCATATACTGGGCTCATTGCAAGGGAGGAGAGGAGAGGGTTTGCATGTAAATATGTGCTTTTCTGGATTATGCAAGGTAAGCTTTGTCTCTTTTTGCTGTAGGAATGCTATGGGATATAAGGAGCACTTACAAACTGTTAGTGAATTTATTTTTTTATTGTTGCTTTATTATTACTTTTATCGAAGTGATTTCTAGAATTGCTTTGTAGCATGGAAGTTTGGAGATGCAGGTACTGAAAACCTGCTCTTTTTTTTTTTTTTTTTCCTCTGTTGGCGTATCTGATGTATGATACGTGTATGTGTTTATATACATCTAATGTGCATATCAGATTTTTTATTTGTAGGAAGGAAGTGTGCATACAGGTTCTTCCCTGCAGGACTGTTCCTGAGAACAGGTTTGCATTGGGTTTTAGTGTTAGAGCTGGTACTGAAACATCAGCAAAAACACAAAAATATTTAGAAAGCAACTTGTAAAGGTTTAGCAGAGGATGCAAATGTCAGTGAAGTATTGGAACAGTTAGCCTCCATAGAGTTCTTATAAGGAATATTGGTTACTACCATAAAACTTTCTGGAAAATGGTATCTGTGTGAACAGACAGATTTGGTGAGGGGAGAGGATGTTTTTTTGCACAGTAGCATCCATCTATCCATCCCCAAACATTCATCTGCCGCTTCCTGCTCTGCTCACTCTCAGCCTGGAGTGCTTTCTCATCTGCCATTGCCTGTGTTCTGATGCTGCAGCAGGATTCCTCAGGCATGTCTGTGTCCCGATTTGCTTGTCCTGGCCTTTCCAGTAGCACGTGGATGTCACAGCAGGCATTGCTGAGTGGTGAAATTCATTCTGCAAAGCCTGTAAGGGCCATGTGACTCTCTCAAGTCAGCTCCAAATGAAATGGTAGAGTTGCTTTGCGATGGTTGGTTGTTTCTTCCTTTCTCCAGGAGGCATCAGACTGCATTCCTCAAATCAGTAGTACCTTAGCAGACTGTGAAGTTGCGCCTTGGTTTATGTTGTCCTTTCCCTTTTATTTAAATGGTTATATACTCAGGTGTAAGGCGGCAAGGAAGATCAAGCCCCGTAGAACTAGGTACATACAAAACAGGCAGGAATTGTTTCACCCCAGAAAATGGCTGCGTCTGAGTAGCAAACGAGCGGTCTGGTGTTTGAAAGCTCATGATGCTGTTTCAGGTTAACTGGGGGCTGTGCAGCTGCTTCTTCATTCTACTCGCATTCACCTGTGCTTTGTATTTCTCATATGGGTGGAAGAGCTGTTTGAAATGTGATTTTTAACTGCTTTTTTTGTTCCTTTCTTTAGGGGACTGGAGTTTTGGGAGTTGAAGTTCAGGAGCAGATCATTTCTTTACCGACAGGTATGGTTTGGTGCTGTATTCAGCACACACTTTGCCTCCAAGAACCAAAATGCCACTCTCACTGTAACTATTGATCAGTTTAGCAATGTTGCATCCCTCTGTAGTGCCATCTCTGTTGCAGAGCTGGTGTTAGAGCTGCGTGACACACGCAGGGACCTAGCATCAGAGAGGTGAGGTTCTGTAATCTTTGTTTGATCCGGTAGAACCAGAATCTGTTAAGTTTGTGTCTAAAATGAATGTCCAAAGTCACAGAATTGTGTGGGAGGATGGAAAGTTTTGTTTCCCGCAATCTTTGTCCTTGCAGTTGGAGTGGTAAAAACCAACAGACATATGTTCTTGCTCTGCTGAATGGCACTGGGCCCAGCAAAGACTGCCTGGAATTTTACTTTCTGGCTTTGGAGCATGAAGTAATTCTCAGTATTGCACAAAGGAGAGATGGGAAGACCTGATTCAGCTATGCAGGCATGACTGCAGGATCTTTCCCTCTGCCATGCTGTCTAGCCTCCACTGGGTTTTCTTTGAAATAACTCCAGTGGGGTTTTTGCCGCTATCCTCAGGGGAGACAGCTCTCTCCACCACTTAATGGATCACCTCATTAGGAAAGAGTTGGCTGTTCTCTGCCTATCCTGGCCATAGTCACACTCTGGAGACAGAGAGTAGGCAAGAGAGGGCTTGTTTTTTGGAGGAGAGAGGGGGTGTTTTGTGGGAACAGCAAGCAGCTATTTTTTATTCTGTTTTGACAAACCAGATTTGTTTTTATCCTGTGCCAAGTAATGCTCTGTAAGCTCTCTGACAGTGGGTGTCTGGATATGAGCAAGGGAAGAACAACAACATGCTTGAGAAGGGCTTGATATACAGCAGGGATTTGCTTCATCAGATGCTCTTGTGACAAGGAGAAAATGCTGGTAACCCCTTTAGTGCGTTAGAACGGAAATGCTGCTTAGTGACATTGTGCAGAGAGAACAGTTACCCGTAATACTCGGCTCCGCCTCGTGCCCTCTCTGAACCTTGTTCGCAGCAGCTGCCTTACAGAGAGCTGGCGGGCTGCAGCGAAGCAGGAACAGGCTGTACATGCTGAACTTGTCCTCTTCTACCTGACCATCTGCTTCTGCCCTCCATCCTAAAGAGGAGGCTGGACTAGATGGACCTCATATCTCACCTCGTATAGCTGCCATCATAAGTATTGACATCTGGGTGTTTTTATTAGAGAAAAGGATTAAACAGCCCCAGAAACTGTATGTATATATTTTTGCTGAATAGCGTGCAGAAGGGCAGGGACACCAAACACATGGCTATTTCAGATGCAGGCCGTTAGTCTGCATTTACACTAGCTAACTCCAAGCGTGGAGACATCAAAGCTAAAGTCACAGCATACAATGACCTCTAGTGAGGGATGGATAAAATAACATATGTCAAGGATCTCTCCTTCTTCTCTGTGCCATCTGCTTAAAGGCAGGCTCTTGGCACTCCCAACAGTGCAGTTTAATATCAGAGCGCATAGGGAGAGACAGCACTTGCCTTTGGATAAATATATCTTGGCTTGTTAGATCCTTCTCCTTAACAGTGATAAACATGATCAGGTTACTTAGTAGACTTTGGTTTTATTCTTTTGTAAATGTTAATGGATCAGAAACGTAGACCAGTGCTTCATTACAACACTACATTTAAGTTTTTGGAGAGCTTGGTACGTTTTGAAAGGTCGTGAATAGAATGAATGTTTATTGAGGCCAAATGACTGATCCTGCCTCTGCAAGTGGGGATGTGTTCTGGCAGCGGTGTGAGAAGGTGAATCAGATGGGACAGTGTCTGCTTGACCAGTTTTTCCCCGCATGGGCTGGTACTGCTATTGCCTGTATTATTTGAGACTGGAGGACAGTTTGTCCAGTGTGGACAGGGAAAAGTGACTAGGAAATGGTGGAAGTGCGGTGGCTCGGGATCAGCCCGTGGCAAGGGCTGAGTTTCAGTGTGGCTCCTCTGTCAAATAAGACTCGGACCTAGAAAATCTGTAGCATGTTACCTTAAGCCATGTGAGTTCTCCTGAGAAAATAAGTACAGGCAAGCCCAAGCAAAGTGCTGGCAGCTTCTGGGAGGGGGTTCAGCTCTTGCCTAGTTCATTGCCTTGTGCTGTTTCTTTCCCCTCAGAGAGCCATTTCTCATGGTGGGACTGTTCATACAAGCCTGTTTGCTCCAGTGGCACAGGGACAGGACCTAGCTTTCCTTGAGCTTTATCTTTTGCTGAACAAAAGCCTGAAAAGGACTGCCCTTCTCCAACTTTGTCCTTTGTTTCCCCAGGGAAACAAATGTTTCCCTGAACCATTCCCAGATGTTTATTGTACAAACTTTCTTGAAGCCCATGGGAAATAGGTAATTGCCTGTATACTAGTCTCTGGATAAAAATCTCTCTAGGAGTGCCTTGCTGAGAGTGCTTCTGGCACAAGAGTACTTCTGGGCTTTTACTTGTCAGTTATTCCTCGACAGCAGCTTCATGAGGCTGCCTTGATATAAGAAGTACCAGGAAGATTAGCGGTCAGTAGGCCTTCTACTCTACTACAGGTCCCTCTGCCCTCAGCTCATGAAAGGGGTGGAAAGAAATGTAGCCACCACACAGGGATGTAAGGTAGCTGGTCGTAGGGAGCTAGCATTTGGTGTGCAGGTGGCATTGGCAGATACAAGTCTTGTTCCTCCTGGAACAGCATTTCTTCTAGTGATATGGAAGGAAAGGGTGCTCTTTAGCCAAGAGGATGCTGAAGTGTGAGGGGTGCTTACGCAGGAGGTGAGCACTGCGGTGTGAAATCTGTGCTAACCTGCTAGGTCTGGAATTGCTGGGTATGAAGGGCGGGAAGGGAACTTGTGACATGCAGAGGTGTTTGAAATACCAGTTTGCTGCACCGGGGGGGTGCTGTCATGTGGGCTGTCCTACTTGGGGTTTTTTTTCCTCACACTGTTTTGCCTTTCTGAGAGAGAAGCAAGCTCCTACATAGTGCCTCGCCTGGAAAAAGTGTTGCTTACGTATTAAGAACCACCTGTGAGCTCAGCTCTCCCAGCAAGCATGTGAGCTTCCTGCCACAGACAGATGTGTGGGTGCTGCTGTTGTTTCTGAAACAGAAACCATCCTCTGCTCAGCTTTCTTCCCACATCTGATGAGAACAAGCCTTGCTCCAAGGCAGTGCTGTGTAGCTGGAGATCATGGTGTTACAGGTCCTCATCTCATCCTTACTAATGTCTTTAGTTGTAGGGAGGGAAGACTTAAAGGAAGCAAGGTAATTTTGCTAGTTCTTTTCCCTTCCCTACCACCAGCTTTGGTCACTAGAAGATTCTGTGCCTCTGCACGTTGCAGGCAAGCTTAGCTGCTGCACGTTGTCATGTCACCCCAATCAGTGCAGAGCCTAGGAAGCCCGTGCAATCCCTGCTAAAAGTGGAAAGAACACCCTTCCTCCATAGGCTGGGTGACTGTGACCGCTGGGGCGTGCTCGGGGACTAAGGGAGTATGATCTTTCCGAAGAAATAAAGTGAGCACTGGAAATGCTCCCTGGAGGTATGTGAATACCAAAGGCGTACAAGGGGCAGCCAGGACTGGCTTGAACCCTGATGGGTGAGTCTGGGGCCTGACTTGGGGTACCTCAGTAGCTCCTAAAACAAGGGTCAAAGCATTCTTTGTGGGGATGTGCTTGCTTCTTTCTTAACACCCAGCTGGACCAGGAACAGAGTGCATGGCAATGGGAATAACTTATAGTAGTAGGAACAGTAGAGGAACAGCAGAAACCAGGCTTTCTGAGAACTATGGGTTTAATAATAATGATGTACCTCTGTTCAGGAGCAGGCTCATATTAAGAAATTGTGATGATATCATTCTTTCCTGAGTGACAGGCACTGAACCCTGATTAGGTTTCTAGCTTGACTTGCCATCAGTAGTGACTGTGGGCTGTTACACAGCACAATACTGCTGATAGAACACGTGCAGGACTCTGGACAGAATTTCCTAATATCTTGAAGTTTTACAAGGGCAACTTCTAAACTGTGTTCTCTGTTTTTCCAGGTCCGAAGAATGGTTGGGGCTCTAGTTGCAGTTGGCCAGGGAAGGTTAACACCACATCATATAAAGGAGTTACTGGAGATAAAAGATTCACGGGCTTTTCCACCAAATGCCATGGCTCCGGCATCTGGACTCTTTCTAAAATCAGTGGAATATGATGAAGCAGGTAGGTGAATGCAGGGAATGGCATCCTTTTTGTAGGAGTCAGATCTAATGCTGAAGGGAGCAGTAACGCCCACAGCCTTCCTTTTTGTGCCATCTGACCTATGGCTCACAGCTTTGGTCATTGACACCCACATCACAGTGAATGTCCCAGACTGTAGAGGTGCTTACAGCAGTTGCTATGGAAAAATTGTGTATTTTTTTCCTGGTAGATTTTCTCCTCTTACTTGCAGGGTAATAAAAGAGAAGTTGTGTTGACAATGAGTTTGAGATTTCGCATGATACTTTCAATGGTTGTTCTGTCCCTGACCATGTATAAAGACCAAATTGTCTGCGGTATCCAGGTGCCTACAGATCTGTTTCTGTTCACTCGCTTCTCCCTTCGTATTTATGAGAGGATTGTACAGAGTGGAGGACAGAGAACAGATCATCCTTTTGCTTATATGGTGGTTCTCTCAATTTAACAGCATCTGATCTAAACTATTTAAGTTTTTTAGCTTAAAAAAAAGGGGGGGGGGTGCAGAGGGCAAATTTGCAGAAGATATCAAGTGGATGTCATGGAAGTTTGACATCGCTGCTAGGGATAGCAGGTATTTAAAAACGCAAGGATGAATCTGTCTCCGATTAATCCAGTGCCTGTGAAATATGGATACAAAGGACTTTCCACCACACTGCAGACCTTCTCCGGGCTGCCTTGTCTCAGCCACACCACAGACCTCCCACAGGTGGGCTGAGAGCACGTCCCCTCCGGCAGCAGCAGTGCACACAGTGGGGCTTAAAGAAGACAGAAGGGAAAGGGGAGCAGCAACGAGCAGTGCAAGGAACTGGGATGTAATTCTGAGCACTTGGCCTGGCCTTGAAAAGGCAGCTGCTGCTTGCTGCTTTTGGCCCTCTCCAGTGGTGCTTTTCCTAATAGTGCTGGCTGTGGAGCTGGCTGTGCCAGCAGAGAGGGAGCCCAGGTGGGAAGTGAAGACCACAGATTCTAAGTGCTTTCAGGTGGTTTCAGTGCCATCTTTTTCCCTAAATCAATGTTTTCTTTTTTTCCTCTCAGATTTGGACACTACAGTTGCCCCAGGAGAATAGCAGCTCTGTGAGATCCAGCCGTGTCTGAAAGGACTGTTGTTGGGCGTATGTGATGGAGGTTTGCCAAGCGCTCTTTACACAACACACAGTCTTGTCTCAATAAAAATCATTGACTGTGACTGTAGGCATCTTCCTATCATTTGTTCTTGCCCTCCAAGACTGCCAAGGGGAAAGGAAGAACAATTCCATGCTGCTTTCAGATAACTGCTTTTTTTTTTTTTCTTTTTTTCTGAAATGCTGGTGCCTGCCTCTCAAACGGGAGGAAGGAGTGGGGCGTGGGTTTTTGTTTTGGTTTGGGGTTTTTTTCCCCCCCTTCTGTGATGTGTGTGGGAGGGATACAGGCTTGGAACAGAGGAGAATGTAGCATTTTCTCACTGCCCCCTCTTCTCTGTAACCCTGCCTTTGTACAGTGTAGTGCAAGGGACAACTGTTACTGTTCAATGCAGTGACTTACAGAAACAGCCTTTGAAAGTACTCGCCACTTCCTCTCCTCAGCAGCAGTCACTGTCTTACTGAACTGTAGTGGCTTTTATATTATCCTGTTCCCTGGTACAAAGTCATGGCTGTTGTACTTAGGATGTGGCATGTTACACAGCAAAGTTCCTTTGAGGTCACTTAAAACCTGTTGCAATGGTCGCGGCCTGGGCTAGTAGCACAGGAACAACTCTGGAGTGAGTTGGCCTAATCATGAAATGAAGCACTTTGGAAGCTCCGTAGCCAGAAGGTGAGCCACACTGTTGCTGGGCTCTGATTTGCTTGTTGCCACCTTCTGCTCTTCCGTAGTTGTTGGTGCAGTGGTGCTGCAGAGCATGCTAGATTCTGTCAGTGGTCTAAGGGCATGTGAATCGTAGTGTAGAGCAGGGAGCAAAGATAACTTGTTTGTTTGTTTTTTTAAAAAAACCACTCTAATCTCAGGTTTTGCCTTCTTGCCCAAGCAATAAAATACACACTGGGTAACTTGTGGGTTTTTTCTCATTAATGACACCAGAATCTCTGTCTGTTTTGGTTATAAAATGACTGCTAGAGTGCCAAGTTACAGGAAAGAGGATGAAAATTTTGACTTCTGAAGTTCACAGAAGAAACAATACTCGGTTTAAACACTCTCCTGGAGTAGAAGCAGTGTGCAGCTGAGACGCCTGGCACCACCATAATTAATCTCCCCTTTGTCCATGAGAGGAGGAGGAGAATTACAGAGAAAGCCAGTTTGTCAGAGCAGACAGCCCACTGGATCTGGTAAGAGGATGTTCTTTGTTACGTGGCAATTCAAAGTGATACAGACTGTTGCATTCAGATAAATAAAGGAAGAATCTTAATAACCTCTCGAGAGACTGTGGAGTTTCCACTCTCTGTTTGCATGGTGAAGACCCCCGGGATAGACAGAGGGGGAGGTGGCAGTTCTTTTTAACCTCTCTTAAGGCTGCCCTTGCCCTTGGCAGTGGGGATCGAGCTAGTGAGTGGTCCCAATACAGAATAGAGGCCAGCCCGTTTCTGGGTGTCCCCTCATGAGAAGTGATGTATCTCTTCCCCACTCTGTTCCAGGTAGCGGTTTTGCCAGAGACCTACTTTTGACAGCTTGGGGAGGAGAGGCAAGATGCGTCTGGATACTCTCTCCCTTCCGTGCAGCGTGCTGCCTGCTAGCTGCTTTATTCCCTCAGGGACTAATTCCCAAAGATGATGACAGAACTTTGGAGGAGTCCTGGGTCTCCACCATGGAACAGGAGAGCTGAATCCGCTGTGTTGCTAGCGTGGTACCTGTTTGTGCTTTTCTGGGACAGCCTTGCTGGATACCCAGAGGCAGGGATGCTGTAAAATGCTGCAGTTATTTTTCAACACAAGCAGCGGGGCTTTGTCCATCTGTTCCAAACCCTAACGTGCCTGTGTGTTTTTAGACAGCGGTTTGCCTGAAAAGGAATGGCAGCAAAGTCTTGCTCTTCCCTGCTTTGAGGGGAAGTGAGGGTGCAGCGACAGGCCCGTTTCAAAGTGTCTCGGACTGAAGCACTGGTACCTGGTTTCAGAGAGACGGGTCTTGCTCTGCAGGCTGGAGGGCAGGGCAGGCTGGAAGTGATCAAGGGTGGCTTTGGGTGGGAGCGTTGGGCCTCCCTCGTACCGCGGATGCGTGGAGAGAACCAAAGTGTGCGCTAGTGCTGGCTGCGTGCTGTGCTCCCTCCCCAGGTCTGCGGGGGTGCGTTTCACTCGCAGGACAAGTGCTCTGTCTTGGATCTGAGCGGCAGCTTTTCATCTTCGCTTCCTGTGGTTTCTCTCTGTAGAGCAACGCGGGAGAGCTCTGCTGTGTGTCTTGCAGGGCAGTTTGCTCTGGTGTTAAAACCCTACGCAGAAGAGCTTAGCAGTGACCTCGTCGTTGTGAGGACTCTGGAGACGCTAGCGTAATGCATCTGCAGGTCTTGCATGAGAGATGGCGATCTGAGCTCTGGTAAGTTAACTTTCTAACAAAACTTATTATGAGTCTTTACAGGGCAGAAAACCGAACCAAACACTAATGCTGTTCAGGTGTTAATCAAACTAACTACTACTGCAGGCTCAGGTAGCACAGCTTTTTTTTTTCTGAATATTTGCAGTGCAAAAATACCTGCTACTGATGTTTCTGCAAAATGTTTCCCAGCTTCTGGTTACAATAAAAACCTATCGCGCTTATGGGTTTGTTATCAAATCCAGTAACTGAGGAACCCGGGTTTGGCTATCCGGACAGTAGTCTAGAAGTAGACTAACTGGCTAACTCTGCAGGTAGCACAAAGTGCTGTTGTGGTTTTTTGCTTTGATTTTTAAATCCCAGAGCAGCTGTTAAAAAATAACCTAAAGGCATTTAATTAAAGAACATGCTCTCTTAGCATCAGTAGAGAACTTCTGTACAAACTCCTAGTCTGAATTGGTTTTTTTGGTGTCCGTCATTAATACTCGTTACTTTTATCAAGGGGTATTTAGCATTCTTTTCCTTTTTATGTTGTTGCATTACTAATTCTTTTCAGTTGATTCAGTTTGGACATGGGGAGATCTGTCTTTCTGACAGTGGTGCTTTAAAACTAAAACCAGAAAACACAGAGTTCAAAGACTCAAGCTTGGTTTTGTATGAAAACATTTCTAATAATTTAATGAACTCAAAATCCAGTGGAAACTTTGATGTATGCTTTTCTGTGTTTTTGTAAGTCAAATAACTTTGTATAGAAACAGTGGTCATTTTTGGTTGTCTGGAAGAAATAACAGCTGCCCTCCCCCTGAAAAAAACCAACCAAATAACAAAACAACCCTGGGGAAGCAAAGCTGAGTTTGGAATTTGATCAGACTCCATACTTCTAAAATGGTAGATAAGTGAATGGTACATTATTGTAAGAGATGAAGGTAGCTGTATACTTGGAAAATACATGTTTAGTTGTAAACTCAGTCACTTCTATTACCTCTCACAGGGAATGAAAATATTTTCAAACAGATCGATGTGCATGGTGGGGTCCTGCAGTGCATATGTAGCTGTTTGTAACTGGGTAGAAGACCAACTAGTGGAATATTCCATGTCAGGGGTTTATTATTCCCCCCACCCCTCTTCCACTGTCCTTGCTTCTGCCGTAGTTGAGCTTACATGGGCTCGTGTTTCTTGATGGGCTGCGTGTAGGGCTGGCGAGCACTGGTGGTACGGGCGCCTGGGTGACAAGCTTCACCTGCTGCTTCCCAGCAACGGAGGTATCGGCGTTGCCCGCTGTCCGCTCTAAGAATGTAAGCCATAATGTGGGATCCTTTTTCAGATGGGGAGGGATTTAGGGGATTAAGTGAGACTACAGGTGCTAAAAGCAAATGGTATTAGTGTAGTATCGTAGCGCAAGCAGCTTCTGTGCCTTTGGTAAGGCCTTGTAGCCATACTGCCAGCGATCCGAGTGGAATCACTTTTAGGCAGTCCTCTAGCAAGACTCATTTTGCCACCTCACAGCAGTCGGTCAGCGTTAAGCGTATAGAAGCTCTTGTTGCATCTGGCTTCTACAGAATCTTGGGACAATGCATGTGCTGCTTGGAGAAATTCCTTTTGTTTGTTTTGGAGCCGTTACCTGATAGCATCTACGGGTGTCCCTACTGTGCTTGTCTCGTGAGGAGCAGTAGCTACTCGGGCCCCTTTGCTGTCCTGCACGCTTAATGATTTTACGGGCCTCTGCCTTACCTTTCCCCGGTTGCCACGCTGTGTTAGATGTTTGATAGATAGATGTTTGTTGGCTCTCGCTCTGGCAAAACCCTGAGATAAAGGTTGTTTCAAGTCCCATGCTGCTTAGTTATGGCTTAGCTATGCCTGGCTCTGTATTACTTTTCCTCTGTGTACATGTGGGTACAAACCCTTTGCTACTAGGTGAAAGACCCAGGTAAGCAGGTATATATGCTTGCGTACTTAAAGTGAAACCATTTTTTTTCCCTTCTAATCTTCTAGTTATCATCTTGGGTGCTTTTGACTTCATTAGATAAACAACTCTTGGGAGGAAGTGTGATTTCAGAGTTTCCTTTGGAAAGTACCCAACAACCTTTGTGTTGTTGTGCTTTCAATGGCTCAACTTTAGGTATGTTGTGCATGTTGCTGGGTTTAACTTCTCCGCTGCCTTTAGGGGCTTCTGTTTAGGTGTCTATGTTTGGCTCAGGTACTCAGATTTCTATTTGATGGAGAGAAACTGCACTGCTGGAGTGCAGTTTATTGCTTATGCAATGTGAGTGACCATGACGAGGAGTCCTACTTGTGCGGTGCCTCTCCTGTATTTCAAACGCATAAACTAGTCTTTTAGGCTCCCTTTCTAACTGAGTGGTGGCTTCCCTCTGCAATGTGCCCACAGAGTAGGTTTAGGGTGCTGTAAATTCACCCAACAGCTCACACTGAGCCTTCCCACTTGTGTATGAACTTCAGCTAAGGCATAAAAGTGTGGGTGGGAAGGATGGAAAAACCCCTATTTCTCCCAGATCGCCTGCATGCATGTTATCGGGTTTTATGATGACCCAGGCCTGTATCCTGTACTATGTACTCTCCTGCAAAGGAATGTCTGTTCCAAGAGACCTGGCACATCTTGTCTGAAATGCCGAACCCTTCCATTTACTGTTCTGTTAGGGTTGTTGTCTGTCCTACTGACGATCCACCCC